AAAAAAAAAAAAAAAAAAAAAGCTAAAAACCCAACTCTTCAAAAATCACTGAGTTTAAAAAGCGAGAGCACAGCTTGGCCAATAGGAGAAACTTGGTTTTCATTTCAAGGGCAGGTGAGAAATTGGGCTAGTGGAGGGAGGTGGCCTAGTGTTGAAACAATGCAAGACTGGTGGTTTTCTCCCAAGCTTTTATACTACTTATATTTACTTGTCAACGTCTAGTGTGTTGGGGGCCCTGGGTAAGGGTCGTGCAATAACCAGGACGCAGGGGATGCAGAGAAGGATAAACAACCACATGCTATATTTTAAGAGACTTAGTCTTTTTATAGAGAATTAGAAACGGATATATTAATCATTACATCATGACATTACCTTAGTACAGACTTCAGGCTGTTGAGATAATGTCTGTCTCCAACTATTCTAAGAATCAGTATTATGCTTATGAAAGCACAAAATAAAGCCTTTATATGTAAGAATATTAGGAGACAAATAGTCACAAGAGCCACTTCCTTGTCCCAAGATATATTCTGGCAGAACATTAAGATGCAGGCAGAGAAAGTATGCTTTCTCTTCACTTGGCTTGCCAAGTGTCCAGGCACCTCAAGTTACCTCATAAATCCTGTGCAGAATGGCATAGTTTGTTGACTAAATCTCCACATTTACTAAATAACTAATTTTATGAATGGTGTGTAAAAGTTATTTTTTTCACTGAATTTTCAGTGTGTTAAAATGTAATTCTAAAAATGTCAAAAAATATAGTTCTTATACAACTAGTATACAGGTACCAAAGGTTTAAACAACCCATGAATAAAAGAACATATAGATGCAAAACTAGTCCAAAAGAGTATCCAAGAAACTGATCTCTTCTGTATCTATACATACACAAGCTTGACACGGAAAAAAGAAGCTGAGGTAATTTACTAAATTAGACACAAAATTGGAGAATATCTTTTAGGACAAAAAAGCTATCCACTTAAGTCTGTCATCTCTACTGAACAGATATCTTTACATATATAGAGGGGAAAAGCATTTTCATTGATTACTTTTCTACAGTTAGTATCTTACTTTACAGAATGATGGTTTGCTTCAATTATTAGCAAACAGCACTGGGGATTTAGCTCAGTGGTGCCGCCACCTGCCTTGCAAGCTCAAGGTCCCAAGTTCAATCCTCAGAACAACAACAACAACAAGAAAGCAAACAGGAGAACAGATAGTGTTCCATTTCCCCAGGTAAGCAGTTGACTATTAAGTGGCATTCTGGGTTGAATTGTACTCCCTCCTGCCACCCTAAAATATTGAGGTCCCATCCTCCAGTATCTCTTACTTTGAAATAGGGCTTATGCTTACCATTAGGGCTGGGGATGGAGCTTAGTGGTGCCGCACCTGCATGAAATAGGGCCTTTGCAGATGTCATTAGTTACAAGATCACACTGGAGCAGAGTGGCCCAGAACTAGTATGACGTGTGTCCTTGTGAGGACCAGGAGACAACAGAGTCCCTAGGGAGGAGAGGCGCAGCCTGGAGTGTCACACCTGCTGGCCAGGGTTGCTGGCCTTTTGCTATGAAGTGAGGCACGGTGCTGGTCCTCCCTCAGAGTTCTCTGAAACACGCTAGCTCTCAACACCTTGCTTTTGGATTTCTAGCCTCCACCACTCCAAAAAATCAAATTCTGTTTAAGCCACTGTGTTAGTAGTGGTGTGTTGTAGTGGCAGCCATAGAAAAAAGATTCCAGCAGGCTTTTCAGACCGTGCCCTACTTTATACCATATTTCCTGAAAACAAAACCCAGTCTTATATTAATTTTTGCTCCAAAAGATGCATTAGGGGGCTGGGGATTTAGCTCATTGGTTCTGCTGCCAGCTTTGCAAACGCAAGGTTCCGAGTTTGATCCCTAGTACCAAAAAAAACCCAAAAAAGATGCATTAGGGGTATCCTATTTTTCATGTACAACAAACTACATTTATTCATTTAGTCATGTACAAAAATCTGCCTTTACTCATGTACAAAAAAACAGACTTTGTTCTTTTTGTTTTTCTGTTTTTTTCTTTTGGTACTGGGGATTGAGCTCGAAACCTACATTTATTAAAATACAGTCATGTAATCTGGAACATGTTCACAACTCTCCAGACCCTGAGTTCTGGCCTGAATTTCTTGCAACTTGATTTCCTATAGAACCATTGGCACCAGTCTCCCATATCCAACAATAGAGCTCTCCTTAAATGAGCACTTCTTATATTAATAATAATATTTTATAATTCGTACATCTGTTTATGTTGCAATGGATGCACTGTGTTTATCTGGCTGATGATCTTAACTGGGACTTATTTTGGGGGTAGGGCTTATATTACAAGCTTCCTCAAAAATCATGCCAGGGCTTATTTCTAGGTAAGTCTTATATTGGGGAAAATAGGATTCTAAAGATAGTGTGATCTTTTCATACTGGTTTATTTCCAAACTATGTGTAATTTTATTTAACAAGTGCTCAGACTAAAGAACAAACAATTTTTTCAGTCCTTGATAATTGAAAAAATTCATAATTCAGCTTCTCAGTATATAGGCTATTTTACTTTTTTGGTTAAAAAACCAAAGCAAAAGCCAGGTGTGATGGCACACACCTATAATCCCTTCCCTTGGGAGACTGAGGCAGGAGGATCACTGTGAGTTTGAGGCCAGCCTAGCTGCATAGTGAGTTCAAGGCCCGCCCCTACATACTGAAACCCTGTCTCAAAAAAAAAAAAAAAGAGAAAAAAAGAAAAAGCAAAGGAATAGGAGACATGAGAAATAAATTCCTTGATTTTGCAAAAAAGGACATGAATTCTTTTTTTGTTGGTTATCACTTGGTGTTCAAAAATTAAGACAGGCAAGTAAAATTATTCTATGACTATCAATATGCCGTACAAAGGGTAAATATGTTAAAGTTTCTTTCTAAAATAACAAAGCGCACACACACACACACACACACACACAACATACACACATGCAGCCTTACAATAAAATAACAGCGCACACACACACACACACACACACACAACATACACACATGCAGCCTTACAGGAAAGGAATTCACAAATTTTTCTATTTGTCCAAAAAAGAATCATGCTTTTTTTACCCAACAGCCCTTTCAATATGAAAATTTTTCATCTTCTGAAAAATATTTTCTCAGTATTATTTCTTCCTCTCCATTTCTTTCCATATTTCTTGAGCCAGGGTGACCACTAAGTTGCCAAGGTTGGTTTCCAACTTCTAAACTGCCTACTTCAGTCTTCTCTGTAGTACTGGGATTACTGATGTGCACCCCTGTGCTCAACTCCCACCTCTCCATTTTTAATTTTACTTTTCTGAAACTCTTAGTATCCGTGTAGTAGCACTCCTCTCGTAATCTTACGTATCTCTTAATGCTCTACATCTTCTCTTCCTCCTTTGCATTTTCTTTTAGTATAACCACATAAGATTCTGTTCTGTTGTCACCCAGTGGATCCAGTAACTCAGGAGGCAGAGTGTTGGGGAAAGAAGGTACTTTCTTAGCAGCAAGCCAGCTCATAGAAGATGGCACCTGTCACCTCTAGGAATGTCTTGGTACCCTGGCCCTGAGGGACAGTTTTTTACAGGCACATTCAAGGAAAGATATGTGGGCAATGCCTTGGTCATATGGGTTCTGAGAAATTAGCCTCTGCTGAACCATCTGCTGTACACATCTTGTCTTGTTCACATAGTTGGCAGGAGTTTCAGTCCAGTGGCTCTGAAGAAGAGAAATATGATCAAAGTGTTTTGGCTAAAGAGTCTTGTGTCTGTTTTTGTTTTGTCCTCATCCTTTGTAACAAACTGCCTTTCAAGTGTAACTTTCTTCTCTAACTTGAGACCAGGGAGTAATGGGGAAGGGAGGACTTGTGCATTTCTAGCTAACTTTGCTGTGCACTTAATCCTTAAGTGACAAGAATTAGTGGGCAGCAGAGATAATCTAATCCAGAGATAGAATAGACAGGAACAAAGACTCCTGCGGATTGGGTCTGGAGGGAGGGAGACTTGTGTGTACCTCTACTAACTGGCTGGTTTGTTCCTCAGCCAGTCTTTTTAGCTCATCTGTATGGTTCTTTTCCAGTTGTTTTCTTCATATGTATATTTCCAGTTTACCTTAGTATGGTTTATTGTTCATCTTACAATATTTTTATTAGCAAACTATTATCCTTATTAATATCTTTGGTTGCTGTGTTCTAACTCCTCTGCTCTGGAATCAGGAATCTAGTTTGTTCTTCCTTTGAAATAGTTGTGTTCTCCAGATGCTTTGTTGCAGTGGCCTCCAGATCTTTCTTTGTGTCCTCCAGATGTGTCCCTGTCTCCTGTATACTCTCTTTGGTAGTGGCAAGCATACTGTCTCAAGGTCCATGCCTGGGTCTGTATCAGCCCTGTTGAGCTGATGAGGAAACGGAGGCCTGAAGTGCTGGGCTCTCAGGCAGCGAGCCCCAAGTACCAGAAAATGCTAATTTCTGCTTTTGCCCTCCGATCAGGGGTTCACACCTCAGATCAGATCAATATCATATGAAAGGATATTTAACCTCTCTAGTAAGTAATCAAAGTGAGTTGCATTTTAGTTTTGCAGAGACCTCAAAACAGCAACTGTGAACCCTCGAAATTCACATACCTTCCTAGATAGAGCTCCTGTGAGTTGTAAAAAAAAACGGAGAATTTCAGATATGGTCAGGAAAATGTCTATGAGTGCCTATTTGTATAGTTTAAGCCCCTAAATGTGCTATGTCTCCCACTTTTACATTTTTAATTTAATAAAATACTGTATTAATAAAGCCTTAGAAGATACAGGGTGTTTGGGGGGCACCTTAGGGATCTTAGGGCTTTAGGAGGAACAAAACCCGGAAACACTTGAGATAACTACATGCAGTACAGCAGCCTGTTACTATGCAGGAATGCTGCATCTGCTGGAGATGGGTTGCAGTGCAGCCACCAATCAGCAGCAAGGAGAACTGAACAATGCTCTGGGTTTGGCTACTGCAAACCTCCCACAAAAACAACTGCAGAGGATAGTTGAGGTTTCTACAAAGTTGCAGGGGTTTCTCAGGTTCTAAGGAAATCTCCACGAATAACTGAGGCTGCACTCTGAACTGCAACTTCACAGGGCTATTACCCAGTGTGGGTGATAACTTTAAAAACTGTCCTTTTAACCTGTGCTAGTGAACTATCAAAATTTTCAAAATTTTCTCACTGTTGTAGCAGTTGACTCAATTTTACTACTAGTATAAACCCTAATAAAATAATAGAAAAGCACCAAAATATGTTCATCAGATTATTGGTGAAAATAAAGCTGCTATTGCTGCGGTTTGCCTTTGTAGCCTCCTAGCAGCCTCTGTGTAGAAGCCTTGGTGCTAGCTCTAGGGATGCACTGGGGACTCCAGGACATGGGTCCTCAGTAGAGTATTCTGGTCACTGGGCCAGGCCTTAGAAGGGGCTGTTATGTCTTCAGCCCCCATCACCTGCCCATCGTGTGGGAAGCAGCTCTGCTTCCCAAACCCTCCCACCATGATGTCCTGTCAGCATGGGCCCAGAAACAGTGGATCCAGCTGACCATGGAGGGAAGCCTCTAAAACTGAGCCAAAGTAAATCTTCCGTGGAAGTTGTATTTCTCAGGTATTCTGTCACAGTGATGGAGAGCTAACTCAGTCATACACAATATGTATTATAGGCAAGGTGCCTTTAACTCTTACCATGGAGGATTCCTATTAAATATGAGCACAGCAAGAGACAAAACAGTCACAGGTTCAGATACCAGCAGTCTCTTTGCAGAATACAGGTTCTTCTTCACGATGCCACATTGCGGAACTCACCCCAAAATCAACCCAGATGTCCAGTTTAAGCGTTTGCCAGTGGAGGTGACACACGGCCCTAAATGAACCTAGTGTTCAACCTAAGCATTTGCCCCTGTGGGTTACATTTCGTGACTAGCAGTACTGGAGTAAAATGGAATAGTATGTACCGCACTTAATTTTGTAAAGAGTCCTTATCTTATAAACACTCTGATCCCACTTTCTTTGTTGTTGTTGTTGTTTTTCTTTTCTTTTCTTTTTTTTGAGACAGGGTCTCACTATGTAGTTGAGACTGACCTGGAACTCACTATGTAGCCCAGGCTGGTCTCGAACTCACAGCAATCCTCCTGCCTCAGCCTCCCAAGTGCTGGGATTATGGGCATGTGCCACCATGCCCGGCTTGATCCCACTTTCTTCCACAGCATTTTAAATAAAAATCAAAACTGACATAATTTTATCTCTGGATATTGAGATCATGGGCAGTTTAGTTGTAGGGCAGTGGTGGCAAACCTATGGCACACGTGTTACTGTGTTTTTCTTTCAAGACAAAAGATGTAAATGTATTATTATTTTTTTTTCCTAAACTGAAAATTCAGTATTCAGGTTTGATTGCAGTGTTGGCAGGTTACAATAAATAAGTGGGTTTTGGGTTGCAGTTTGGGTGCTCATCTCTAAACAATTTACCATCACTGTTATAGTACTTAAAAGCATTGGTTTTAAAAAGGAGAGATGTGCACCTATAGTCCCAGCTACTGGGAGGCTGAGGCTGGAGAACACTTGAGCATAGGAGTTGAGACCAGCCTGAGCAACAGAATGACATGCCCATCTCAAAAATAAAGAGAAATAATTTTTAAATTATAAAATAGAAGAGTAGACTTTGGAATTAGAAAGACCTAGGTTCCAATACCACATTAGAAAGCATGCATGCTGACTTCCTAAACTCTCTGAGAGCCTCAGTTTCCCTCATTTATAAAGTAGGAATGATAGTTCCTCAGGGTGTGTGTGTATGTGCGTAGAAGACAGAAAAAGAGAATATTAAATAATACATATAATAGTATCCCTCCCGGTAAGTGTCCCCAGCATAGAAATTGTTGTTTTCATTATTTATTATAACTTCTATATTATCTGAATGTTTTACAATATTGGTACATTATTTTATACTCAGAAAAATAAAACCTTTTCCATTATGGAAAACAGTAAAGGAAAAGGAAAAAACATACCACCAGGAAGATTGTTCAGAATGTTTTGAAACTGACTTGTACTTACCATCCCCCCATACACTGAATGGTGCAGGGTTGGTTTGCCCTGGGTCCCCCAGTAGTAAAGAAGATAAATGTCCTAGATAAGCAGCTCTCCTGTAAGTGACAAGGACTCCTCGTGCCAAGCACAGAGGCACACAGTGGAGTCTTTCTCAACAGTCAGCTGCTACAAGACAAGGGAATCATTCACCTCAGGGGCGATGCCTCTCAGGTCTCGTGGTCTTCGCTTTACACTGGCCACCTCAGCAGTGCTTGGTGCCCCATAAGGACTTGGGGGTCCCTGAATGCTGCAGCTCCAGCTGGAAGCACACTTGGTTTTTTCTAGCCTAACAGATCTGTCTCCACACGGATATTTCTGTGTTCTTTGCTATATTGTCCATTAGCCACTTTTCTGTTATGATCCCCAAAACACTGATGGTGAGATAAATGTTTCCATTTGCAGAAAAATTTATTTCTCAAAGTCATGTGTTTGTTACAGATTTTACATCCCGAAGTCCAAACTCTATATCTACAAAGTTGTGATATCTCTGATGCTGCTCTCCGGCACGTGTGTAGCTGCAGAAAACTGAAGAAATTGAATTTAAGTTCCTCAGAAGGAAACAGAGGTTCCATAACTTCAGAAGGTATGTTTGTTATCACTAAATAAAGTGCGTAGATGGCTCTTCAGCTGCTGGTATCATTTCGGAGTAAAGGAGGGGAAACTGTGTTAGGAGATGTGTGATGATGTCAAAGAAATAGGGATTACATTTATTAATAAAATTCTTAAGACAAAGAGGAAAATAACCCAAGTTAGAATTTGTATTGCAAATCAGTTAAGAAATATGTAGGCTGGGTCAGTACCTTGTATTTTAAACATACTTAAGTTAAACATGGAATGTTGAGCCGGGGATTTAGCTCGGTGGTTCCACCACCTGCCTCATAAGTGCAAGGTCCCAAGTTCAATCCCCTTACCAAAAAAATAATAATAAAGATAATAATAAAGTAATTAATTAAAAGCAAAACATGAAATGTTTATACTTGAAATATTTTGCCTGGAAGAGTGAAATGATAAATGACCCATTCAACTTTAGATAAAGTTTTTCTTTTTTTCCTGGCTGTGGTAGTCCTGAGCTAAATCCCTGCCCCCACCCCTTTGGTTTTTTTGTTTTTTGAGACAGCGTCTCACTATGTAGTTGAGACTGACCTGGAACTCACTGTGTAGCCCAGGCTGGTCTTGAAAACACAGTGATCCTCCTGCTTCAGCCTCCTGAGTGCTGGGATTACAGGTGTGCGCCACCACATGCCCAGCCCCTGTAATGGTGATCAAACTCAGAACATCTCACAGTGCCTCCTGCTTCAGCCTCCTGAGTGCTGGGATTACAGGTGTGCGCCACCACATGCCCAGCCCCTGTAATGGTGATCAAACTCAGAACCTTGTGCTTGCGAGGCAGATGCAGTGCCACTGAGCTAAATCCATGGCCCAAGCTTTTTTGATATAATATTACAACAGAATTACTCAGAAGATTAAATTAACCAGGCACTCTGTTATCAGCCTGTGTGATGCATAGCTTTTTGTAGCCAAACTGCATTTTTCAGGGCTATTATTGCATGAATTAGTGAGTTTTTAACCTTTTTTGCAGTGTAGTTGTTCTATCTTTCAAGAGAGAATTGCATCTTATTTTCAGAATAAAAAAGAAGTGCTCCTTTGGCTGAGTAGGTTTCTAGAAATGCTATGGGTGGTTGGCTGTCCCTTGCAGTCATCTTGGTTAGAAGTGAGAATCATCATAATACAGTGGACCCTTGAATTACAAACTCACTTTGTTCCCAGGGGCTGGTTGTAACTGAAGTTGGTAAATTGTCTTCAGAAATCTCTCTCCTGTATAATTTTAGGCCACACTTTCTTCCAAGCAGATCTCAGTGTCCTTAGAGAGACATTGGACCTGTATTTCTGTTAACCCCACACAGGAAAGGGTGTTGTAATGTTCCTTCCAGTACTCTTTAAGGTTTAAATCTGTGTCTGAGGCCATCTGCAAGCACAAGCGGCAAGCATTGGGGTCATAACTCAAGACTTTGTAAGTTAAAACTACAGTTGTGGTTGTAACCAAAGTTGTTCGTATGTCAGGCCGGTCATAACTCAAGGATCCACTGTATAGCAAACATAGGGGGTATAGGGATTGGATTAAACTATAGAACTCACAGCTTCTATTGCAGAGTAGGATTCACTTGGTATGGGGAAAAGACATGCTTTTACTGTCAGTGTTATGGAAGGAATAAGTAACTGACACACAGAGAGGCAGCAGAATGGAAGTAAAATAATAAATTTACTTATCGATAAGGGTCGATCACACATAAGCCGTGCCTGGATCAACGACGCACTGGGTTACAACTCTTCCTTTTATAGGGTTTCACAGCCTTGACTTCATTTGGGCAATTACATTTCATTCTCACAGTTCAAATCACAGCCACAGAATAGTTAATCTTTTCAACCCAGACGTAACAGTTCCTTTTCAACCCAGACATAACAGTTCCTTACCTTTAAGATTTGCCTAGTTATCTATTCTAGCCCATAAGTAGGGGGTGTTCAGGGTCAGGGGAGCAAATGTTAGCAATGGGTTCTTTCATTTAGACACTTTTACGACCAGGTGGCTCCAGTCTCGGAGCTCAAGACCTTGCTGTGCCCTGTTATCTCAGGGTCACACCAAATGCCTCAGTCAGCAGTTAGTGTCTTCGGTGCCTATTAGTTCTAAGGTAAACAAAACAAACTGCTGTTAGAAACAGCAGAAGCCATTTTATATTGTAACACTTCATAGGTTTTTGTCATTTATGAAAGTTTTCCCTATCATCAGGAATTTGTGCTTTTTCAGAGTTAGTTATTTGTTATGTAAACTGAAAACCTGCAAACAACTATGAAAACTAGTGAACAAAGGCAGTCAAGTTAGTATAATAATTCTGAGACAAGATGCATACTTACAGGCCTACTTTTGTCAAGATCTGTTATCTGAGGGTACATGTTAGAATCCTTTTTGTCAGTGTGGGTGCAATGTGTTAAAGAATCACAGCTGTGGGTGGCAAAAGATTTATAATAGCCATGGTCTGAACTGTGAGGAAAGTGTAGCAGTTGACAAGATGTTCCGTCACTTTCCTTATACTCAGCAATTCTAGCATAGTATTTATGATTGACATTATTATACCAGGACCATTAGGCTCTCCTTGCTGTCTCTTCCAGATATGCGTAAGACTTCATTTTAGTACAAAGAATGACGTAGGCCAAAAAAGGCTATCGTCACAATAGTCTTGGCTTGTAATACAATAGTGAGGCAAGGAGTTTTCCTAACTGTCTTCTAGAAGAACTGTGCTTTTGTGGAATATGAACACATGCACTGCATGTATAAAAAAGCCAGTCATGATGAGCCACAGCAACACAGAAGTCCTTACACAGTGACATAGCCTCTGCTTTCAAGGGGAAGTGAGACTCTTAACAAATCTGCAGAGACCAGGTGAAGACCAGATTTGAAGTAGCAGGATTGAGCAAATGATGGGTTTCTGTTTAAGGGTACTGAATACAACTGCATAAAGTAGGGCCAGGGATTTAGTTCATTGGCATGGTGCCTGCCTCGCAAGCATGAGGTCCTCAGTTCAATTCCCAGTATCAAAAACGAAAAGAAGTGGTTCATAGAGCCAGAGTGTAAACTGATACCCTGGGTAAGACTTTACAGCTAACAGAAACTTAAGTACTGCCTCTGTTAAGGCACAGTTCCTTAAGTAGTCAAAAGTCTAACACTGAAACACAAGAAATAATCTCGACAGAAAACGAAATCCTTGTTCATTTAAGACAGTTTTGTAACTATAATTTTTTGTTTAGTTTTATAATTGTTTTAAGAAAACCTCGTTACATGAGACAGATTTTTGCTTTCATATCAATGTGTTAAATTTTCTTTTTAGAAAACCCTTTGAAGAGTCCTTACAGGGCCAGGGATTTAGCTCAGTGGTTCAGGTGCCTGCTTCACAAGCGCAAGGACCCGAGTTCCATCCCTGGTACCAAAAAAAAAAGTCCTTTTAATTATGGGCAGTTCAGTCATACATACAAGAATATTAACAATAATATTTGAGTTTCACAATTCCTTCAAAACCTGTTCCAATATTCTACTAGTTTTAGAAATCTAGTCGTTTAGAACTGTTTGACATCCCAAGTCCTTTGTCACCAAGACATTTGTCTGAGTGAAAGTAATGGAGGAAAAGAGCAAGAGTGTGGAGCGGCACAGTAGCACCCAGGGAAACCTTGGCCACCGGCGCAGAGAAAACCAAAGTGGTGGGGACAGCAGCTGCCTTTCCAGTCCCAGGTGACCTATCTATCTGTAGTGGGTAGAGCTCAAGCAGTCCCTAGGGGAAAGCCTCTCTTTCATTGTATGTGGATTTCTACCTCAGAATTATAATGCTGAGCAACTTTTATGACTCAGGAAGACAGCAATTTCAAACTGTTTACATAGATCAAGATTTATGAAAATACATTCCATAGACCAAGATGTATTGTCTTTGTATATCCTTTAAGAACCTCTAAGGACAGTACTTGTTTTTAATAAGCATTTATGAGACTTCTCATGTTTAAATTTATATTATCAAGTCTCACAGCTATTTTAGCTTATCCATTATGAGAGGTATTTGACCGGCATAGTGAACATATTAGCCCTGTTAAGCATGAGTTTCCCTGGCTTTCTCTCTTAAAGAAGTCACCTGAGCCACATCTCCATCCTCTTTCTCCTGTTGGATGAGGTGGAGCAGATTAGGTGCTCCTGTGTGCTAAGTATTTGCAGCAGGAGGAAGACGGGGTGAAGGAAGAGGAAGGGCAATGAAATGGAGCAGAGGAACGCATTTGAGGTGAAGACTCACGAGCTGGTCCCTGGGAACTCTGCAGGACAGGCTGCTGGTGAAGCTGGAGGGTGGGGACTGTTATCAGGGTCCTGGGAGGGAGCTGTTGACAATAACAGTGAAAGCCAGAGCCAGAGGGGAAGTACAGTCTTCCTCAAAGAAGTCGGCCTCTAGAGATCATTGTAGTGCCAGTTTGTGGATGAGTTTAAGAAATCAGAGTGCAGTGGAGTGAGAACGGGACCGGCTTAAATCAAGCTGTCCTCAAATGCTTATCTCTTGGTATCCATGGATTGCTTCCATGTAGGAAATAATTCCGTGAGGCAGACGCACTCTCCCTCTTGCATGGCCTTCAGTCAGATCCCGGGCAGATCCTTAGGATGATGAAAAATGGTGCCAATGGCCCGTGCAGTGTGCGTTACTAACGCTCCCATCTTGAGAATGAGGAAAGCAAAGTGAGAGTGAGGACTCCCAGCCCTCCCGTTCCTCCCAGATGGACCACTTTTGACATCCAGCACGCTCAGACCCACCAGCGTGCTGGAGCTCATGCGGAAGCCCGAATCCCAGAGCCAGCGTGGTGCTGTGGGGAAGGAGAAGCAGGGTCTGGCTTCGGGAACTGAACTGGGCTTGGGAGGGCCCCGCCCCACTGGCCTATGCCCCGGTCCCCGGCTCAGCCCACACCTTCCCACCTCGGTGGGGTCAGATGGGTCCTGTTGGTGCCTCCTGGACGTGGGAGGAGAGGTCCATGTCCATAAATAGGGTACAATGCAGTAAGAATGGG